GGGAGAGGGAGAGGGAGAGGGAGAGGGAGAGAGAACAAAAGATTGGGTCGAGTTGGTAGGGAAGTAGGTTGATAGGGGAGGATCTGAAATGAGTTGTGAGAAGAGTATGTTAATAATACATGGAATTCTCAAAGAATTAATAAAAACATTATTTAAAAAATTATCAATCAATTTAGCATTTAACAAGGTGTCTCACTTTGGGAGACATGGTGAAAGAAGGGTGTGGCCTATGCATCCAGCAGCTAGAAAGTGATTCCTTATCTCCTTGGAGCTATCTTCTATTGCTTCTTGGGTAATTGAAGACAGAGACTCAATGGAACCTTTCTCAACACGGGAGGTACTTTAACTGTTGCATCAGTCACACCAAAACGTCACTGACAAACACTTAATTTTGTCCCAGGGCTCCATTATAATGCATAGTGATTTAATATGGGTTACAACTGAATGAGTTGGCCCCTGGAAAGTTGCTATGGACTGTACCTTCAAAGTGTAACTCAAAATAAAAACTTTCATTCTATAGGAAACTGTTGAGGTTTGGTCTTTTGCTATGTATTGTAATGCTAAATACTGATCCCCAAATCCTGATTGCCCCCAAGGATGAGAGAATCCTCACATAGACCCAAATGACTGTATGGAACCTTGCCTCCCAAGTTATCCCTGATTGTAAAGTTGCCTACAGCCTATAGCTGAGCAGAAGATAGGTGGGGTTTGGGTTCCTGGGCTTAAGTTCGGAGGCAGGAGACCGCGAGGAAAAGGAGAGGAAAGAGAGGGAGGAAGTCACCATGAGGTCAGGGATAGTAAACCTGGCCATGTGGGCTGGCCAGTCAGAGTAAAAACGGCCTATGCAGAAAATGGCATGTTGTAACTCTGGGTTATTGATAGGAAGGTATAAACTTATAAACTTAGCTTAGAGGGTAGATATCTGCCCAGGTCTAGTGCAGATTAAGACTTTTTACAAATATAAATGTTGGGTATCTTTTATTTTATCCGAGACTGAATGATCAAAGGCAGGGTAGAAATCCCCACTGAAATTAAATATTATCTAAAACAAGAAAATTTTCTCACATGTTTTTGTCATAGCAGAAAAAAAAGCAACCACCATTTTTACATTCACAGTCTAGCAGTGGTATCTCTAGGTATGTACCTGGAATTAACCACTCTGTAAGATTTTAGGATAAATTCTGTCCTAGAGAATGTCTACCTGTAACTCCTGATAAGGTCTTCTGGCAAAACTATCTCTACAGATGTAAAGATTTGGGTATTATGTCAACAAACCAAGTTATTTCAGCATTAGTGGCCATCAAACTAAGAAAGATTCTTTCTCAAAGCCTTCAGAGAAGACCTGGTGGGTCTCAGAGTTAGATGTTAGACATACCCTTCCCCCAGAACTGAGGGAGACTAAGTTTATATTATTTTAAGATACAACGTTTGTGGTACATTGCTCTAGAAACCTTAGGAATAGGATTCACAGAATGCCCAGTTTTGTATTTAGGGATAACTGAGTTTTTATTAATTTTATTACAGAAATTCAGAGATTCTGGGGCTGGGTAAATGATTGTCCCTGCCATAACCATCATTAATCAGCCCAGGAAGAATGATGGCTCTATATTGAACATAAATATATTGTTTGAAAAATTGAATTTAAAAAAAAACCATTAATAAGTTGAAGGAAAACAGTTCCTCTCAGTTTGAGTGATCACATGTCTGTGTGTATTTGACCAGAAAGGGCACTCTCCATAAGGAAAGATTATTTTTGCATCAGCCAGAGTTTGAGATAAGGATTTCTACTTAACTCTGTTAGACAAGGATATGACAGCTATTTCATGACAATGTTTGAATACTCCAGACTCTAAGAAGTTTGTTTTGTTTTATTGAACATATCTGAGAAAGAAAGAAGCATATCTAAGAAACTATCTGAGAAAGGGACCATGACTGCAATTTTACCTACAGCTAGGTAGATTCCCAGCAATTTGTCATCAGCCATGTCTATGTGAATTAACACAGCAGCCTTAGAAAACTTGTTCGCCTCCCAATAAGGAGGGTCAACATTTAGTCAGAACACTTCAATGTTGCAAAGCTTTCAAAGGCTGGTTTTGTGGGCGGTATGTATCCATAGCTGTCTGAATTAACTGAAAATCTTCTTTGCTGATTCTACACATTTTGCATCATCAAAAGGCTTCCTCTGGCTGCCAGGCTGAAGAAACTTCTTCACTGTGGGGAGGTTGCTGACTCTGGTTCTCAGTGCCTGCAAGAGACAAATCAGAGCCTCAGAGAGTGGCTGAATAAGGAGTTTATTGTTTGTCCAGCTCTGTGGCCCTGCCAATCAAATGCCCAACTAAGCCCCTCCATCAGCACCAGGGTGGAGGTTGGAGACAGACACCCAGAGAGAATGAAGATGAGAGAAAGGAAATGGAGCTTCGCCCCAATATATCTTAAAGATTCATTTGTGAAAGTTTTTCCCTCTTTTTCTTTGGACTTTAATCCTGCAGACTCATCACTTCTGTAAACTTTAAGGATGAACAATTTCTCAGATACTGATACATAGACACACCCTAATAGATAAAAATGATCATTTGGGATAATAGAATTAGAAATGGTGGTAGAAAGGAGAACCGGAAAACCTGGATCCAGTCAATACCAACCTTCACTGAGAAAGAAAAATGGGAGTAGCAGGGATTGGCAGTGTGGCCCAGTGGTACAGCATGTGCCTCATATATGCAAGGTTTACTCACGAGCACCACGGAAAACAAAGGCAAATAAAGAGAGAGGGAGGGCTTAGGAATGGCTCAGTGGGCAAAGTGCCTGCTCTGCAAGCGTGAGGACAGGAGTCTGGATCCCCCGACCCACATATGAGCTAGGAGAGAAGTATGTGTTTCTGCCCCAGTGCTGTGGTACAGAGGGTGGAGACAGACAGCTCTGAAGTCCTTGGTCAGCCAGCCTAGCTGAACTGATGAGCTCCAGGCTCAGTGACAGAGTGTACCTCAAATGAGTGAATGAGTGAATAAATAAATGAGATGGAGAATGATCCAGGAAGACATCCTGTGTCTATTTCTGGCATCCATATGCATAAGTGCACGTGCACACCCCCACTCATCACACACACACACACACACACACACACACACACACACACACAAAGGAGTTGTTGGATTATGGAAATATGTTTGTAAAGGAGGCCTCTGTAGAGAGAACTATGTAGTGGTGAATAATTAATTCACACTGAGCTCCTGGCAGGTGATCACACTTCCAGCGACCCGCCAGAGTTCTCTGGATTCTTGAATGAAAGACACATGCATCAGCTTAGTTTTGATATATGCTTTGACTAGCTCAAAGGCTGGGCACTTCCAGACCTCCCCCTGGCTAACACATATTCTCTTCTGTTATTCCTTCGTTAACACTTTCCAAATTTATATTTTATCTTTGCTGCCCCAGATCCAAGCTAGGCACGGATCTCTGGGGCTGCGTCCCAGACTCTTATGTCAGTGGGCCTTTGAGTCTGATCCTTCTGCTTCCCAGTCATGGTGTGGTCCATCCTACGCCCCTCTCATGGTGGAATTTAGAAAGTGCTAATTAAGGAATATCAGAGGGGAGTGTGTGGTAGCCACGGGGAGGTTTGGAAGTGCCCAACTGTCTTTCATTTGAGAATCCAGGAATTCTGGCAGGTAGCTAGAAGCTCAATCACCAGTCGGAAGCTCAGTGCAGATTAACTATTCACCACCACACAAATACAGTGTTCGTTAATGTAGAAGCCTGAAAAAGACCTCTGCAGATACATTCAGTGTGGAAGGACAAGGCTGCACCTTTGATAGAGAGAATCCCATTGAAATCAGGATCAAATCTAAGGTGGAATCAGATGTAGTGAGAGAGAGTGTGGTCCTGGATTCTTTCCATTATACAAGACAAAATTATATGTCCTGAGAGAGCGTCCACCTCAGATTTCCTCATGTAACAGGATTCTTTTCATGTCCTGGAACTAATATCTAAAGTCTAATTTTACACACACACACACACACACACACACACACACACACACACACACATATACATATACATCATATACATATATATATGATATGTCTGGAGGAGAGGGCTAGCTATGGAGACAGGACGTAACTGCAAGTTGCATCACTATCATCCTGATGGTCAATATATTGGTTTCCATGAGGTAAGATATGGGTTGTCTTCAAAGGGCTTGGGACAGAGTACCTTCAGCAGAGGGAAGTTGTCTATAACGCCTGGGTCCATCTCTTCCATATGGTAGAGAAGTTCAACCAGGGAAACATCTGCCCTGCTCAGCCTGTTGCCAACGAGATAATCTTGTCCATGGCTCTTCAACACCTGAGGAATTCAAGATGTTAGTTAGATCTTGAAGACAACTGATGTCAGACTGGGGCCCCTTGAGTTCTCCTGAGCCGCTCATATCAAATGCTCCTTCCCTGCCCTGTCAGGTGCTTATGGGGCCCCATGCTTGTCTCTAGGCCCTGGCTCATGATAAAATCAAGAAGCAGATCTCTGACCATCTGTCATCTGTCCTTCACTATATCTTAGAGACTTGACAAGCTCCTAGCTCCACAGGCACCATTTCTTCCTACCCACCCTAAAGCCCTGACATTTGGAGGTGGCCCACATACACTCTGTAGTCTCTTTGTGGGAAGTCCTTCACTGTGTGACTGCACCCTTCACACATGTATAGACCGTTTCAGGGACTACCTTCCTCCTCGTTCTGCTTCCCAGTATTCTCATGTCTATGGCATCTACAGTAAGCCTGAACTGTCATCTCTGCAACATTGGCTCAGGCTCTTTCTGCTCTGGGATCGTCAGCACTGCTGAAGCATCACAGGGTTAACTAAATCCATGGCTACAATTAGTTTCCAAATGCTAGGAAAAAGGACTATGATTAGTACCAGGGCAGGTAAAGGGGATGAATGCATACATTGAACAAACAGGATGTCAATTTTGTCATCAAGTAGACATTGTGTTCTTTAACTTACTTTCTATATGTATGCATGTATGTATGTATGTATGTATGTATGTATGCATGCATGCATGCATGTATTTATTGAGCCAGATTTTCATGTAGTCCAGACTGGCCTCAAACATACTGTGTACTTAGCCTGGTCTTGAACTGATCCTTTTCCTTCTCTATCTTGAGTGCCAGGCATGTGTCACCATGCCTAGCTCAACTTTTCCAGATGAATGAAAGCTTTTAGAAAAAAAATTGTCATAATAAGCAATATTTGCTAAAATAGTTCATCTATGTTAAAGTCTTAAGAATGAAGAAAAAATCTCCCATAGCACTACCAACTAAAGATAATATGTCCTCAAATACATATTAAATTAGGTATACATATATAAATCACTGCTTGGTAAAAGACAAGCTGTAATGGATGGTGAGCATCTTTTCATGGGATTCAACCTGATCTGTCAGCATCACAAGAGTCAGACTCTGAGGGAATGATGATTTATGTTCTTTTCTACACCCTAGATCTGACACACAAGCAATGAATTAGTACTTGTTGAATTAACAAAGAAAAGAATAACCTAATATGAATAAAATATCCAGCATTATTGAAATCCTGAAGATGAAAGGGGAAAGCACCATACGCAGTGAAGTGAAAGTAGATGAAATCTGTGGTTCTTCCCTTATGTGCAAGGCACCTGCCACTGTTACATGCCTAGAATTATTTTTCTTATGTTCAGTTTGGCCTTGGGTGGTTCAATTCTGAAACATGATCTCTTCATTTGTAAATGGAATTCTCAGGAAGATGTATACACACAGCAAACACACATATATGTATAAAGACAGAACTTTTTTCTTTTGTTTTGTGTAAATTTCTTTTTAAAAATCTGAGGGCCATGTTGCTAATTCCGGCATTTTTTTCCCCTTTACATCTCTTCCCTGTCTCCTCCCTTCAATGCCTCTGACATTATTGTGTAGACACTTCAAATTGATCCTGAATCAGAACAATATTCTTCTGAAGGCCACCTGTTTTAGGCTTCCATATATCAGGGGCAGAATACTTTATGATGTATTACTTTCAGCACGATGCTCTCGAGTCAAAAGATGACGGTGTACTGTTTAATCATGAGCAGCCTCTAGTGTGGCTGGGATATTCACATACACCAAGTTCTAATTGTGACTGTGATGTCTTTCAGAAAACCTCTACTGTAGGTCACAGCAGAACAAAAAATTTTGAAAAAAATAAAAAAACACTTCTCTCTGCTATAATTATCCCAATGGTTCTTCATATTCTACGTTTACACAACACCTCCAGTGTTTAGGTGCTGAATTAACAAAAGACCAACAACCCAAGAACACCTTCTTTCTTTATCGTGACTGAGGATCTGTGTCTGACCCCACCCCAAATCAAGATGCAAAGATCCCCAGCATGATGCTGTTAGTAAGTAAGACCCTGAGAGGGAAATAGATTAACTGTAGGTTCAGTGCTCATGAACTGCATCCCTGATTCCTAAAAGGGGGACTCTTAAAGGCGTATCTCCCATACGCCATCTGGAATTGAAGGCACAGATAGAAGGCAAACATCCACGAACCACGCAGCAAGTCTGTCCCAACACCAGTCCTGACACCAATCTGCAGGGTCTTGATGTTATATTTCATAGCATGTTTTAACAGACTTGGCATTTTTGTTATTGTAGCTTTAGTTACCCAGGTGTCCACTGAGGACTATCAGACCCTCTGAATGTGTGGAAAGTCAGTCAGCTTCCACTCACCTTTTCATACGCAGGGAAGTAACGGTTCCTTGCTTTGTCCTTGATTGTGGCAAGACTTGCCTCTTTCTCCTCAGGGGGCATGTGGGGGTAGTAGAGAATCATTATCTCCAGATCCCACACACCTTCTGTATACATGTCAATGCTGAAAAACAGACAAGCATTCTGCCAAAACGCTCTCACCTGAGGTTTCATACTTAAAAGATGCAAAAGGCAGTGGTAAAACTGTTCACCTCTGATGGGTATATGGAGTGAGTAGTAGTAATCTGATTTATACTTGCAGATTAGCAATCCTTTTGGACTTTCAAAAATATATACAGAGTCTCTCTATGTAGCTCTGGCTGTAATTCATTATGGTGACAGGCTGTCCTTAAACTCACAGCAGTTTGCCAGTCTTGGTCACTGAGCTCAGTGATTAAAGGCAAACGCCACCACATCCAGTAACATTCCATTTTGAATGACCTGAATATCTAGCAAGCAGTGTTCTTCTCTGTATCCACTCTCTGGTTAACACTTGGCTCATTTTTAAAACACTATAACTAGCACAGCTATACACATTCCTGTGCAGTTATTCCTGAGCATGTATTTTCATTTCTCTTATGTATTCACCTAGTAAAGGAACCGCTAGGTTATTGGTGACTTGACATTTTACCTTTGAGAAATAACCCACAGTTCCACAGAAGACTTTTGTTTGAATGGAGTGGTTGTATCATAGAGAGAGAGGAGAGCTAATGATTAGTCTTGGTAGCTTCAAAAAGCCTTCATTCAGTTCCCATGAAAAGCATCGTACAACCCTGGTGTCTCTGCACCAGACTCTATGAGTCACAGGCAGGCTGACTCTATGTAGATTTCGATGGTAACCTAAGGTCATGGTTACTGTTATATGTCTTGTAATGGATAGAACTAGAAGGTCAGCTCTTTGGATCTTTCTCTTTACTGTCAATCAAAGACTTGGACTTTGTGCAAAGTTATTGGCTAGAATATCACTTCTAAAGATTAAACAACTCTTTTGGAAACAGGACTCCAAAATCTCCTATTCTACAACGACACATCTCTAACCCCTCATCTTCTTCCCTCATCTCCATGGGACTCCTCCTAACTGATGTCAGTGTATGCTCATCCAAGCACACAACCCCACTGTGTTCATGAATCCCTTGCCCTGCTTCTGCTTTCTCAAGATAGGACCTAAATGGTTCAGAGAAAGTCTACCATACAGGGCTCTCTCCTTCAGGTCCTTCCCACAGAGGTTGTATTTGGCAGCAATGTAGTTGAGAATGGCTTTGGTCTGCACCAGCTTCATCCCGTCAATCTCCACCATGGGCACTTGATCAAACATTAAACTTCCATCTATTGATGAAGAAAGAAAAAGAAGACTAAAATGTCTGTACACACACACACACACACACACCACACATACACACACAAACACACTTTTTCATGCCCTGGTCAGAACATTTAAAACAAAAGGTATTTCATGAATGCACTGACATTTTAAGAACAACTTGTTGCTTGCTAAATCTTTAATAAAATAGCATTTTTTTCTGCATCTGCTGTATCTTCTAAGTTTTAGCCTATTTTATTAATATTTTAATTTCATATCCAGAATATTAACTCTGTATCTGTTGCATGGGACATGATGGAGTGTTTAATTCACATCTGTATATATTTTAGGAACAAGATGAGGGAGGTACAAGCCAATGGTCATCCAGTACCATTCACAAATGGGAAAGTCCCAAAGTCTCTTGCTGTTCATGGCATCAAGACAAGATCACAAACCTGCTTCTTTGTAGGTTCCCGTGTGTTTTTCACTAACACCAAGGGACAGTATGTACTGAGTAGACCCAGGGACCCTCACCCATAGGTGTTGGCCTTCTCCCTTTTCACCTTACCCCCCTCATAGTCTTCCACATAACCAGTCTAATCTTTCTGTTAATCCTAGAATACAGTATTAGCGAATCAGTATGTTAAACCTGTTAGAACTCAAGGTAAGTGATCGGCATATTTGCTCCTGGCGTCCAGCGAGTTGTATGTGGATGGAGGGCACTGTGGGAGCCTGAGCTAAGGCAGAGAGTATGTGAAAGCAGAGATAGGACATCTGTGGGGCTCTGGAGATGGCTTCTCAGCAACTACAAAGAGCTTCTCAGCTCCTTTAACTGAGAGATTTTCAGGTCCACTCATAGAGAAAACCCATGACTTACATTCCTTCAGTGAACACAACAATTATGTGTAGGGAGTTGGTCTGGTACTGCTATGTATTCAAATGCTAAATACTGGCCCCTAAGATCAGCATCTCCCACTCCAGGTGATGTTCAAGTACAAATGATGCTATGTAAACCTTGCTCCACAAGTTATCCCTGATTAGTTAATAAAGATGCCTACAGTCTGGGCTGTGCAGAAGAGAGGAGTTCTTGGGCTTCAGGTCTGAGGTAGGGACCATGAGAAAGGGAGAGGAAAAGGAAAAGCCCATGGCCATGTGGCCGATGGATAGAGTAGAGAGATCCCAAACAGAACATGACAAGTGATAGATATCTCGGAGATGACCACAGCAAGTAGACAAAATAGGATAGAGGGTTGATACCTGCCCTGCTCTAGTGCTTCTGAGCTTCCTATAGTACTAAAGCTGTCTGGGTCTTTTATCTAGGAACAATATGGTGTGATGTGGGGTAGAAATCCCCTAATAGATAGTTAAAGGCAACATGGTGGTGTAGCAGCCCCCCAGAATAATAATAACCACAACATTACATAGGTACTGTCTTATCATTAAATGCTTATAGCTTCCACCAGAAACACCTCCCCCCCCCAAAAAAAAAAATCAGGAACATTTAGATCTGTTTCTTACCATTTCTTAGCCTTGCCAAGTCATCTCGAGTTTTCAGAAACTTTTCTTCAAACTAGAAAACAGGAAGAACAAACAAGTCTGTGAGGAGCAGGCCCTTAAACAGGACCAAGTCCATTTTGTAATAGGAAACTTGTAAGACATGTCTGGACATGTCTGGACATGTCTGGTACTTGTAAAGGCAAGTCTGGAAATGAAGCTGTGCTGAGATAACCATACACGAGTGGTTATCTGCCATGTACGTCAAGAGTAACTCCAAATCCAACATAAAAAAGGATCCCGTCTGGAGTACTTCATCATACTTGTAGCCATGACAGGCTAACGTGATCCTCCAAACAAAGCCTCCTCAGCACCCTGTCATCAAAGAGTTAACCGAGAGACCTACACCTCCAACTTCTTGGTCGAGCTCCGACTTCATGCCGAGAGACAACGCCTCCAGCTTCCTGGTCAAGCACCCTGCAAGGTCAAATTAGCAATTCAACTCTCTGGAAGCCGCAGCCTGACCCGGCCTTCAAGGACTCGAACCTGTAACCCGACACCATCAAAAGGATTCAGGTCGTATAATCCATGAATGAATGATGTGCTTATTGCTATGCTTATTTCTTTGATAATTAGCAACTTATTATTTGTGTTAATTGTGCATATTGTTAGAGGCAACCTATAGGAAATGTGACAATATCTTGTAGCAATAGCCTTAGCATTTGTGTTTGCTTGCTGTGCATTATCATTAAAGAAGTAACTGAATTCCACAAACTCTGTCTCTTGGTGTACACTCTTCCCTCTCAAGGAGCTGATGATCTCACAATCAAATCCAGTATACAATCCCTGAGTGGAGCAGGACCTGTCGCTCCTCTCCCCGCGGGGGGATTCAAATCCCTTGCTCGTGACAAAGTCTTTATTAATTAAGTTCATTGTGCTCCAGGATTTTCACTTTAATGGCTCCTGTCTATAGATACTGAAGACCTCCGCAGAGGGGAGACCCTCTCTCAAGTCTCAGAAAGTCGCGACCACCCAGTAATCTGCTCGAGACACCGTGTACCGGAGCAATTGTGAGGTTTATTAGGGCGTGACAGCTAGCTGCCGGTCAATTCATATGCCCACGCAGGAGCTGAATTGACCCTGACTGCCAGTTTGAGGAGGGTTTTTAAGGGGAAAAACCACAAACCAAGGAATGGGGAGGGGGTGAGAGGTTGTTAGGGTGATATAACATAAAAATAGTGGAACATTCCAAAGGAATCCAACCTACATGAGTCAGGATCAGGTGAAAACTCTCTGTACGATTATCTTTCTCAAGAATGTGGTCCTGCCCTGTCACTGTGGCCTTGCCCTGTCACTGCGGTTCTCAGCTTGGTTCCCAGCTTGGTTCCACCTAGTTCACTTGCATTCTTTCCTTTCTCTTTGCAGATAAGCCAGTTCCAGTAATGGTGACTGGTCTTTCCACATTCCTAACTTGATTCATGGCTCAGTTTCTCCATGTCTTTATAAAGAAAGCCTAAAGAATATTTTATATGTCTAAAAAGAATTCTATATACCCAGTATCTATAATTTTTCACTCTACAATACTATAAAAAAGGGGGGGGTTGTTTGTTTTGTTTTTTAAAGTTTGGTACACGGGTAATCTACGCTTGATGGATGGAAATTTATAGCAGATATTTTTTAACAAAGGAGCTGTGGTTACAACTGTTAAGTTTCAGACCCGGAAAATGTGCCTATTTAACATACCAAAGTGCACCTAGCCTCCAGGTTTCCCCAACATAGCTCTGGGTTTAGCTGTTATAGGGTGTGGCTGGCATACCCCTACCCTCTGCTCTGAACTTTCCAGCCCAGGGGCTGGGCTTCCCTTCCCCCAGAGGCGTCAGTCTCCCTCTCCTTCTGCTTCCCCCCTTCCCTCCTTTTCCCTCTTTCCCTTCCTGCCTCCTTCTGTCCCCCTGTCCCTCTCTCCCTCCCTCCCTGGGCATATGCTTTCTCTTTCCTCTGTCTCCCTGCGATTTCCCTGGCCTTGTTCCTTGGGACTGGTGAACTCACCTGAGAGCTGCCCCGCAAATAACCTGCCCCCTTTTAAAATTCAGCTTGAATTGGCTTATTTAGTGGGCAGAGAAAACCTATTATCTTGGTGCCAAAGACCAGGGAGGAGTTAAGCCCCTAGTCCATGTCGGGGAGACTGAAGACCTCTCCTTTCCCCTTATCTTTCTCTCTGCTTGACCTGATCAACTTTTGACCAGGTGAGTAGTAATCCTTTGCCAGCAGCCTAAGAAGCACCAGATACTTCTTCTGGGTCTAAGTTCCCCAGGGTCCCTTGCTATGATGGGATGTGCCAGGGCAAGCCCATTCCAGAACAAAGAAGGTCTTTGTTCAGGAGCTTTAGGATCCAGAGACATCTAACCCAGGGCAAAACCCCTCTCCCTCACTCCAGGCTACCAGGTAGAACACCGTGTAGTCCTCGGGTTCCCCCTGCCTCCCATAGTGGTTGCTCAAACCAAGCTGACCTGACCTTCATGAGATGTGCATTTATCATTTGTCTGTAAATTCAATTTCAAAGTCTAGAGCCCACTTTATGATCGCCACATAGCGCTGGCTCTTGTGGTCTGCCCACATGGACCTTGCCATTGGCTTTCTGCGGGCCTGTGCTAAACTAAACACACACGTCCTCTCTCTTCCTCCATGGACTCAGATTTTATACAACAGCGTGGCTTCGTTCAAAGACCAGAAATCGGCCTACCTGATTTCCAAATTTCCACTGTCATGGCCAAATGATTCACAAATATCTTATATCTAAACTCGCTATGCTATAAGCGCTCAAATTCTCTTATCTCTAAGGTTCCAACTCCCCACCCTTAAAAAATCTTTTATCTCCTGATTTCTTTGCACTCTGCTCTCAAAAACAAAACATCTTAAGAAGATGCTATAAATTCTTATCTAAGAATTTGTAAGTTACTCATTGGATCTGGTTTAAAATGTATATAATCTACAACAAAATTTGGCTTTAAACTTAGAGCAAAAGGCATATAATTAAAAAAGAAAACCTGGGTATTTGTACACATGGGTGTTTGTATATGTGCTTCAACTCTTGTTTTGGGTATATGTGCATGTAATATGAGTACAACTCATTAAAAAAAGATAGACAGACAGACAGACAGACAGATAGAGGAAAAATGTTTTAAATAGCAACCATGTCAGCCACATGGTTGACACCCTGCCATGTGTCTTTACCATCTTAAGACGACCATGCTGTATAAAACAACAATCATAAAACTTCTTTGTCCTAGTGAACTGTTTATTATTGTATCTCCTTTTAGACTAAGAAAGCAACAAGTCTCAGATATTTTAAATTGGTATGGACTTCTGTGTGACGTTGGTAGAAATTTAAGGTTATATTTGCTACAACGTACTGTATACATGATTCAACTCTTTAAAATATTCTGTATCAAATTTCATGCCTTTGCCAATGACTCAACACCAACTGCTGGTAAATTTAGATAAGTATACTGACATGTTTAATGAGTAAGATATATTAAATAATCAGGATCGATAAACTCCTAACGTCTAATGATGTCCACAGTAATATTTAACTAGCTTCTCTGCCTTTAAGCCTTAGCTGTTTGGATACTGTGATTACAGGTTTTATTTTCGAGCCAGGCATGGCGGCACAAGCCTTTAATCCCAGTCTAAAGATCAAGTTCCAGGTCAGCCAGGGCTGTTACACAGAGAATCCTTGTCTTTTAAAAACAAACAAACAAAAAAGGCCTATTTTGATACTAAAGGGGCCTCAATTCAAAAATCATGATTTTTAAAGCTAAAAACCTAACAGGGCAAAACCTAAATTCCTAGTCTTATGAAAGCTACTAAATTATTATAAACTGTTAATGATAATTAAGAAATGCAAGTTAGTCGTCGGTCACCTTATAAATGATAAAAATCCTTTAATGTGTTAAGAAGTATATTTGTAATCACGCTAAGTACTAATGTAAGGAATTATAGTAATAAGCCTTATTTAGCCACCTGTGTTTGAATATTTTCAAGGTTAAGACTGGTATGAGTAATTACATACAAGCAAAGTTTGTCTGGTCAAATATACTTTAGACAGATGGATGGCCCTCAAAAACTTCAAAGATCTGTAGAATACGGCATTTAAAATGTATACTAAAAAAGCTCTTTGTGATAGACATGCCAGCATCTGAGAGCACCCCAGATCTCTACAGAAGATAGGGACAGGAAAACCTACACCTAAAGCTTGCTTCAAACTCAGAAAAGCTGGACCCTGGGCAGTAGACTGTCCTTTGCCTCGAATGACAAAGGTAGGACAGCTCTTCAAAATTCCTACTCCACAGGAAAGTCTCCTTATTGTAGTTGACGTCACCTCTCCTAGGACCATTCCTGTGCCAGTGACTGTGACATGAGCTACAGGAATGACAGTGGCAGGGAAACACTGACCTTTTCTTCTCGTTATGCATTTGTAATATTTCATCCAATCCCCAAGTGTAATCAGAAGGAACAGTGTGTGTCTCCAGAATGGAACAGGGCATGAGCCTGTGTCTAACATCCTGCCTATAGACGTGGACTGTACTTAACAACACTTATGTCCTCAGGAGCCCTGCTATGGGTAAAGCACTTCCTGTTTGCTACATTACTTTACCCTTGCAAGTAAAGTTGCCTCTCCTGGAAAATGGGGGCACAGTTATATAGAGTTCCTGATGTAAGAAGGAACAAATATCTCTACATTATTTTTGGTTATTAAAATAGAGGAGTTCTGAGATGGCTTTGTGAGTTGAGTATGGCCTTCTGAATGTATTAGGTTCTTTACATTGGCCATGCTACTGGGTGTTCTTGTGTCTCAGTACCCTACTCCATAGCAGGCATTTCCTTACAATGTCTGCGGGTTGATCTCGAGACGAAATCACTGAAGAATGCAAACCACCTATAAACCGCCAGTTTTATATTATGTACTCAGAAAACATAAGATACCATTAGGCTTTTAAAAGATGGGTATGTACATATAAAAGAACATCTTTCAACTCACTGGGAAAAGTAATAATTTATTTTGGATCTAAATTTGAGTGGCTGTGGCCTGAGAATGTGGATTTAGATAACACCAAGTTCAATTGTTCCAACATGGAAGAAGTTTCATAAAGTTTTGGTGATAACAGAACAAAGAAGTCACAAGTCATGGCATTTTTTTTTTTTAAATACAGATGCTAGAAACATTTTAGAGTTGGGTTACAGTCAAATGGAGGGATCTTGACTGTAGCTGTCTCGGATGCTATCTGATAACACTTTCAGCCTTTAGTGCTGAAACATCCTTTGTTAAGTCAAAACATTCCAAACTTTTCATCTGTCCATGGGACATTAGGTCTGACACAGAGGTGGACAAAGAATACCTCTTAGGTGTCTCAAGGTTGTCCATAATAGATAGTAATTAGCCTCTGGGTCTGTGACAGCCAAACTCTCCATAGTCTTCATCAGCCTCTGCAGAATCAGTCTTTTATTTTTTTTCAGGAATTCTCGTTCCCAGGTACCTTTTGGTATCCCTTCTGTTTTTCAATATAGCTTAAACTATTCTCGTATTGATGAAAAATGAACCATATCAGTTCATTTAAATGTTTTCCTGAAATAAGTCACTGTGCTTGTGACGTCTACAGGGAGCGGGGCCTTGCATCTGTTACAACTACAGTCGCCATGCATACTTCATAGAGAGAGCACAGGCGGACTGTATATAATAATTCAAGTTGTTTGTAGGCAGAGCCCAAGGAGAGCCCATGGAAAGAGTCATCAAGGCATGGGACTCTTAGAGTTGACATGTTTGGTTGCACTAGTGGCCATGTCTCGTGTTAGCTGTGAGATGGTACGATCAATTGCTTGACATGGGAAAGACTTCATTTCCTCATTTATAAAGTTAGAGGAAGTGTATTCTTCTTTAAAAGAATACTGGAATGTTTGCAAAACCCTCAGTACCTCACTTGCCCCACAGAAAGCAAAGACCATTACATAATACACAGGTGTTACTTTCAGTGACTAGTTGACTTTCATGGAGTTCTTAGTTGTAAAAATTCAGGACTTTGGGCTTATTTAGCATGCTCCACGGATCAGTTTCTTGTGGCAGTATATGATCCCATGATATCACACTCTAGACACAATAAGATAATATGATAACAGTTTGCCAAACATCCAGCCCAGGAAAAACATAAGGGTTAGAAAGTGGTCATCTCAGGAGGGTGGGCAAGGTGAGATGGGGCTGGGAGTGTGATGCTGATGATGATGGGGAGGATGGATGTGATGACAATGACCATCCTGTGGATACAGAAGTTCTGATCCAGAGGTTCCAGTCCACTTGTTCTCAGTAGGCTCTTAGGCAAGAAACACCTACTAAAGCCAAGTCTTCACAGGGCTGCTGCAGCAAATAGGGAGAAAGCAGCCGGAGCCCATGTTTTTTCTTTTAAGAGCAGATATCCTAGGCCCTAACTTCCTCCAGCCAGGCCCTACCCCTTAAAGGTCCCACAGCCTCTCAGTACAGATGCAGGCTGGGGACCAATACCCTACCTTTGGAAGGCGTTCCTGACACACAAGCACAAACAGTAACTAATGCCTTGGCCTTTCATTTTCCCTCACTCCTTGATCATTGACTCAGTATCTCCATTCTAAGCACTGTGTGGGGTAGAGTTACACATTTATAATTTGCATTTATTTACATATATAAGTATTTATCATAGTGCTATGTTTCATACAGCATTTAGTTTGGCAACATTCTGTACAGGTTTGTGGCCTAGAAGCATTATGCCTCAGAACATTTTAAATTATACACCTGTTTCCCTCTAACTGCAGAGTTGAACTGCCGAATAATGTAACCTCATTGTCAAGGAGTATTTGACTCTTTAATATCTTTTTTGGGGGTGGGGTTATTTATTTATTTACTTATTAATCTTTTTTTTTTTTTTGGTTTTTCGAGACAGGGTTTCTCTGTGTAGCCCTGGCTGTCCTGGAACTCACTTTGTAGACCAGGTTGGCCTTGAACTCAGAAATCCACCTGCCTCTGCCTCCCAAGTGCTGGGATTAAAGGTTGCGCAACCACTGCCCGGCTAATCTTTTAATTGTTTTCTTTTCTTTTTTTTTCCCATTTTTTTCTTTTAATTGTTTTTAAGCCAATATATAAAGTAGTTTGTTTTATTACACATTAACACACTGATGTGTAAGTGTGTGTCTGTGTGTCTTTATGTGTGTGCTCATGTGACTCGTGAGTGCGCATGTGTGTGATTGTCCTTTGTTTGTATTCATTTCTATTCCCCACTGCCTTGGCCTCACTTCCTCCACCATTATTTCATCCTTAAATAGTTTATATTGTTTCTCCTGAGCATAGGAACTGGGCTGGAAAAATAGCTTATTTGGAAAAATGCTTGCTATACATACATGGTGACCTGTGAGTGACCCCTAGATCCTATGCGAAATAGCTGGATATGATCGTAGATGCTTGGAATCACAGAGCAGCAGAAGTGGAAATCTATGCAAACCTGAGGTTCCCTGGCTACGGTTGGTGAGCCCCAGGCCAGTGAAAGACCCTGTCTTTACATATATATATATAAAAACGGTGGCTCGGATGGCTGGTACTTGAGAAATCACACTTGAGGTTGATCTCTGACCTCCACACATGTGCCTTCCTATGTACACATATGCACATACGCATCTGCACATACAGATAAACATACATGAATAAATGCAAATAAAATCTAGAATATGCAAAAACACCTACAATATATGATCATATAAAAAACTAAGGTAACAGCATCAAATAGACAGTGTTCATTTTTCTATTCTTTTTCACACATGGCACGTTTGTTTTTGTTTTCTATGGATCATTTGCATCTAAATAGAGTGTATAAATTTTGATAAATTACACGTATTTTGTTGTTTTTGAAGACTTATTCTCCGCATGTGTGTGCATGTGTGCATATGAGTGTGTTTGTGTTTGTGTGTGTGTGTGTGTATGTGTGTGGTGTGTGAATTGAAATCATTTCCCTGGAATTGCAGCAAGTGCTCTCAACTGCTGAGCCATCTCTCCTGCCCATATTTTAATGTTAATGATCGACACTGAAAACAATTAATATCTAAGATAAATCAGTGCATCACTTAAGAGTTGGCAGTTTTTATCTTCGGTCATTCAGCAAGACACTTTGTCAGTTCCTGTGAGGGAAGTGTTTGATACAAGAAATTTCAGGTTCCACTTCAAATGACTCATGCAGAACGTACCTCTACTCCAGCTGCAGCCAAGAGCCACCGGATAGGCTCCATTCTTCCCCTGCCATCGAAGTAGTGAAGGACTGGCTTCCCCGCCATGGCAGCAATTGCTTGGGTTTCTAAACAGGGATGAAGCACACTTCTCTTAAAAGTCTGTCCTATGGGGATGTCTGGACAACAGCTGCTACCTGAAGAAGCATCTGCCTTCTTGATGGCAGAGCTGGAGACATTCCAGGTCTATGTTCCTTGGTCCAGATTGGTACACGTCAGGAGCCACCCTCAGATTGCAACAAACCAGTTTAGTGTGTCCACTGATTAATATATAACTTAAAAGAAATAGGATCATAGTTCAGAGTGCAGGATGATAATGTGTGGGACGTCATAGGAAAACAAAGTACCAGCAAAGTACAATTTATTGTAGACCTCCAATGGTCCCACCCATCCACCCCAATCTCTTTCTCTCTCTTCCTTCCCCTCCTCTCATGTCTCCCCTGTCCTCCCCACTTGGTGAAGGTCTAACCCAGGGCTTTTCACAGGCTAGGCAAGCTCTGTATCCCTGAGCTACATCCCCAGCCCAGATCTCCTCTAACACACTGCCTTTAATACCCACATGGTCACATGACCTGCCGCTTTCTCCAGGTTTCAGTTAAGGAAACAGGACATGAGTACGTTTAAAGCAGTGTGCACAATCAGTGCAGGGACAGGAAGATTCGGGGAGAGGAACAAGGACAAGAAGGATCTGTACTCTCATAAGCAAGCACATCATACCCCAAGGACATGGCTAACCCAGCAATGACCACAGCAGCAGACACTCACTGTTCAGCACTTTGGCTGTTAAGCTGCATTTGATCAAAAGCAGAGATCAGACTCCTTGCTTCTGCATTTCAAGGTGAAATCAAGGAAGAGAAGTATTGCTGAGTCTATTTTACACAACATAGGACCAACATCAGGAAACCCCATTTCCCCAAATTCCTGTGGATAGACAAAAGCCAGCATTCCCCAAGCATTCTACCAAAAGGAGCCATTTCCCTTATCAGTGGCAGAAAGTTATCTGTGGTTCCTAATAGCATACCAAAACCCACGCTGGCCTCCCTCAGTATCACAAGTACCTGCTCCACACTTTAATGCGCATGTTAGCCACCTAGTCCTCCTCACCTCCTACCCTAAACTTTCCCAGAATATGGGCTTGCCAACCCCCAGCCACTTATCCTCATTATAACTCTGCTGTTCTGGCTATGTTCCCTCTTTTGCTCACACTCTTTTTATCTTCCTCTCTCCGTCTGCCTCCTCCATTCCCTATTCTCTCTCTCTCTCTCTCTCTCTCTCTCTCTCTCTCTCTCTCTCTCTCTCTCTCTCTCTCTCTCTCTCCTCTGTCCTTGCTTCTTTTATAGCCAGGTCCATGTTCAGGCTACTACATTCTCTCTTTCCTATGAACTCTGTCTGATGTCCTCTCTCATAACTAAAATATAAACCACTCCCTTAGCCATATCCTGGAGTGGTCATATCATCAGTTTATCTGGTTATTAATGAAACCAAAAGGGGCACAAATGGCCCTAGTTCCAATGGGTTGGACCACTCCTAACTGAACTAGGCTATTGGTTAGAATTCTCCTAAGGAGTGGATTATTCGTCTCTCCTGGCTTTTGCCACCCATCATAGTCAACTCCAGATTTTAGAACTGATGTCTTAGCTGCTCCTTTCCTCTGCCTGCTCACCCCTGGTAAATGTCACCTTGGAGTTGCCTGCTCTGACGCTCTTGGTCCCTGGAACTTACTGGTAGGAGCTTACTTCTGCTGACTCGTTGCTCAGCGCCCTGCTGGAGCTTACTCTGTTTCTACAAACGTCACTATTGGGACAAATAGCTTCTCTTGCCTGACTGGGATCCCATCACATGGGAAAGGATGCCTCCCTTTGTAATTTGGAGACATGGAGTTTCCTTTGGACCTGACACCATGCTAAGGGATTTCCATATCTGCCACACTGGGCATCCTCATCAGTTTATCTTCATTTTCTCCTAATAAAAGTGTCACCTGATGGGACCCTTAAAATTATATTCACTGTACAACCGTGGAGATGGGTTAGTAGAGAAGTCTATGCTAAAAGAACTGCTGTTCTACCATTGACTCTTCTATTCAAAACCAAGTCTAGGCTTTATTAACTACTGTATGATGGTTTGAATATGGTTGGCCCACGGAGTGGCACTATTAGGAGGCGTGGCCTTGTTGGAGTAGGTGTGGCCTTGTTGAAGGAAGTGTGTCAGTGGGGACAAGGGCTTTAAGACACTCTTTCTAGCTGCCCTGCAGGGAAGCCAGTATTCTCCTGTTTGCCTTTGGGACAAGATGTACAACTCTCAGCTCCCCTACACGATGCCTACCTGGACACTGCCATGCTCCATACCTTGATGATAATGAACTAGATCTCTGAACCTGTAAGCCATCCCTAATTAAGTAATGTCCTCATAAAGTTGCTTTGGTCATGGTCTCTGTTCAAAGCAGTAAAACCCTAACCAAGGCATTTATAAGTTTTTTTAAATACAAGTGAAAATCTCAAAGTAAGTTATGAAATCTGATTTTTTGAAAAAGGATAGGACATTCCAGAGTGCAGAAAGTGTTAAGTAGATGGATGTGTTTTTTAGTTTCAGTGTGTGTATGCTGTATGTATGGTTATATGCATGTCCATATGCTCATTTGGTCACTGTGAATAAATACGAGGTCTTGACTGACTCCAGTAAGGAAATTTGACAGCTTCTCACGTCAGGTTGTTTGGAGGTAGTACACAGCAAAGAAATAAAGAATAAAAAGCAGTGGCTTCTGAGATAGATGGGACCAGTGAGGTCACGGATGGAAACTAATCACTGAGGAATCACTGGGAGTAGAGTCCCCAGTGCTGGACTTGGGGGAAACACACATTACCCCTTAAGCCCCAAAGAGCTGTTACAGAACAGAATACATCCTCTTGAAGAGTGCTTGATGTTGTACAATTGGAAACACTAACTTTGTCTTTACCAATAAATGTATTTTCTTACGTATGTGCACTTAGACTTGAGATAGCAAACTACTTTAAATAGCTTTCCTTAAATGCAGAGCTCCTAAGCCCCAAAGCTTATGTCATAAAATTTGTTGTAAATATAATCACTCCACTATTTTTACAGCTGTTGAATGTGAGTATTGCATGCTCTTATTAGCTGGAGTGATTCAGAAAAAGGAAGAGAGAGTAAGGGTCACATGGCTGCAGGTGACTGACTGTGGGGAACACTGAGCCAAGTGGTTCAGATCCGCTCACTAACCCTATTAGCATCGATAGAGGCTCATGGTACACGGTATTTCATCACAACGCCCTTCACTTAAACATCTGCCAGTCTCCAAACAAGACTTGACTCGTCAATTCTCCACCAGGACACAGGGTATCACACAGCCTCACAGAGTCAACAGAGGATGAGAACCAGAGAGACTGAATGATTCATGGAGCCTCACATGTTCCTTAGCCTCAGCCAGTTCTGAGGAGTAGCCGTGCTGTCAGTAACCACCATGTGGACAGCTCCTGGTGCTCCACCACAGAGGGTTTCATGAAGTTCAGGGAGAAACAACACAGTCCTGCTCTCAGAGTGTTAGACTATTTGCTTTCTCCTGGTTACAGGTCAGGGCCTCTCCACTCCAGCCTGGAGCCCTCCCTGAGCTCCATGCTGCCCTCCTGAGAACCTACTGCCCATTTTCCCAGAGTCCTTCAGCCAAGACAGTGTTGGAAGAGGAACTGGAGGGAGCATCTAATTCTTGAATGCCTTTCTGTTGGCAGATTTTGGGAAAGTTCAGGGAAAAAAAGACTGATCAAGGTTTTCAGTGCTTTACTTTGAAACTTTAGGAACTTAGTGTCCCATTTAAAAAAGAAAAACTGGCATCTAGGTGTGTGGTACCTGAATATAATCCAAACATTTGGAGGCTGAGCTATAAATTAACCAGATGTCTCAAAATAACAACAAAGCAAAGTATGAACAAACAAAAAGAACATGAAAAGAATATTTGAAAAAAATTGGGCTTCTTTCGAAATGAACAAATCTACACTGCTTCTAGTAGTAAATTAAAGGATTTGCATCTCTAGTGAATCCCAACATCTGGTTAAGGGTGTCACACCTTCAGAGGTAGAAGGAGGTCTTACAGATTAAGTCCTTCCAGCTTTAGAGATATGAGAATTCAATAGATTTCTAAATCTGAGACTTACCTTCTCTTCTGACTATAGAGACAAGTACACCACCCTCTAAAAGCTAATGGGCTGCACAATAAATTAATACACATAACATTCATAACAGACATCTCACAGGCATGTTCACTATTGTCTCGGTTCCTGGGGGACTAGTGTGTGACTAAACACATCAGCCATCACATCTGAAGCAACTGTGATGTATCAGGGAATGGTGATTGTCCAATTTGGTCCTTTCTCTATAAGAGCTTAAAGATATCCATGTGCCTTGTGGAAACCCAGCAGAACACAATGTGGTCAACAGTAACCTCATATATGTGTTTTAGAAACCTGAATACATGAATCGTGATTGAGATGACCAAGCAAGTAAGAACCATAAGTGAAGTCAAGTGAGCTAAGAGACTGGGGATCCTATCTGTTTTATGTTGGGATTCCAGAGCTACTTGCCAGATACAGTAGACTTTGGAAGTCCAGCATGTCTCCCTTCCTCCCTTCACATCAGGACCACATCTCACTCAATCATTACTTGCTTAGCCTCTTGCCAGCCTGCCCCTCTATAATATCTATTCCATATCCTTCTCCACAAACTTGTTTCCTATGAATTGTTAGGCCTGGCTACTTTGAAATCAGGACTTTCAGAAAACATCAGTCTTTCTTTTCTAATTGGTTCCTTTTCTCCAGTGCTAACATTTGTTCCATGTCATTGTTGACTTCCACAATCTAATGACCTCTGCATTCTAGCTACCTGCCAAATGCTCCAATGTTTGTCCCTCTTTTCCATAGTTCTGAGAACTCAGGTCCTTCTGTGCACCTCAGGCAGAGCTTCTGCTGCTTCCCCCCTGCTGAGGTTGGGGAGACCTATTGGGCTGCCCCAGTCTGAGGGTATTTTACACTCTTGGATGGTAAAGGTCAGGAATCCTTCTCAACATCCTAAAATGGAGAGCATAGACCTTCATAGAAAGGGTAAATCAAAATGGGCAGTGTTGAGTAGCTGTTTCCTCTGAATTAAAACACAGTCTCAAGAAGGAAAAAAAAAAACTAA